CAATATCCACCTTTTACCTGCTCTGATGGACTTTAGTGGTCCCTCAGCCCCCTGTGGAAATGGATCTCCACGCTTGGTGTTTAGTGGTGCAGTGCCATCAGACTAAACTGCTCTGGAACTCCAGAGCCGTGAGGGTGACGTGCACCCTGCCTCCTCCAGCAGCCCGTCCTGGGTGCCAAGTGTGCTATATTGGCCTCTCTTTGGTTTTATTGCTGAGTAGACTGAATGGCCTTAATTTGTTTATCGTGTAAGCAAACTATACAGAAAAGCCAGAGTGTCAAATTTTTGGTGGCCAGAGGCAGAATTTGGTGTCAGCTGCCAAAGGCAGCCTGTCAGTGGGTATGGCACCCACACAAGGGTCCCAGCTGCTCTGACAGGCTGAGGGCTCTGTAATGCCCAAGGAGCTCTGTCCCAGTCCTGACAGCTCTCCCCACCGCCTCCACAGCCACTCTGGGTTCTTTTGGCACTCCTGGAGGTGTGTGGTAATTGAGTAGAAAGGCTTGGATGTCATCGAGCAGTACGATTCCATCTTAGGCAGTTTATTGTGTTGTAAAATGTCTCTTGCATGTGTCAGTCAGGGACCTGGAGCTGTTTGTGTTCCTGAAAATCAGGAATCCATGCTGCTTTCAGGGATTTCACGGGATGCCCTGCAGCCCCTGGGTTTCCAGCAGTGGAACATGCTGGGTGTGTTTTCTCAGGTGCCAGCAGCCCTCACAGAGCCAGCAGAGCGCGCGGCTCCGCAGAGATTTTGGTGTGGCACTGCTGAAAGGGAGTCAAGATCATTTCTCATGCTGCTCGTTCAAACTTGGATCCTTTGTACACTCTGGGGGAAAGTTCCTCATGCTGGGACAGCAGCTGTTGGCTGTTCCAGGTGCCAGCAGCCACTGCTCCCCCGTGCCATGGACCCGCTCTGTGCCTGTGCACAGGTACCTGTGCCACTGCTGTCCACCTGGGCAGGGCTCACTCTCTGCTTTCCACATTCTCAGAAAAGTGGCATCTCGGAGCAGAGCTCAGGGGATTAAACTGAAATCTTATCTCCAGGCTTTGACATTGATCCCCAGAACAGTTCCCATTTGAGGCTGACCTTGGTTTCAGAAAAATGTTTTATTTATCTATAAGGATAGGTCCAGGCAAATTTCTTCTTTCAGCAGAAATTCTTCTCTGTGAGGGTGGTGAGTGGTGTGACCCTGGCACAGGGTGCCCAGAGCAGCTGTGGCTGCCCCTGGATCCCTGGCAGTGCCCAAGGCCAGGCTGGACAGGGCTTGGAGCACCTGGGACAGTGGAAGGTGTCCCTGCCATGGCAGGAGGATTGGAACTGGGTGATCTTTAGGGTCACTTTCAACCCTAACAAGTCTGTGACTCTATGATGCAATGAAATTTCACTTTTAGAGCTTTTCCTCTCAGAGTGCTTTGTTTCACCTGTGCTCAGTTGTAAACTCAAATCCTATTTTGAAATGAAGTTTAATAAACTTCCCAAATTTTAGTCAGAATTTATTGTTTAACTTCACTTGAATAAAATAATACTTTAATAATTACTTTCCCCACTAATATTGGGGAATTAATTATTTTTCAGTCAATAATATATTTGTCTGACAAATGTATTCTAATAATGTTTAAATTGTATTGAAAACAGCATGTCAATGTACTGTCCTTGCTAAAAATAAGAGAAAAATACAACTAAAAGGATAACAAGAAAATCAGGAAAGGTATAATTCTTATATAAACTCTGTCAGTAAAAACCCCAAACATGTGGATGTGCTGGCATTTCAGCATTCGATTCCAACGGTGATTTCCAGTGTCTGAAAATCCAGCAGTGAGTGCAGCAGTGATTTCCAGCTGTCAGGGTGCCCAGCTGGGGTCCCTGTGCAGCGGGTGCCCGTGATGGGCTCAGTCCCGAGCTCTGTGCAGGGGGATTGGCACAGTGATGGGGCCTCACCCCTCTGCTGCTGCTTATTTGCTTTGTGTGTTCAGGGCACATTTCAGGTGAAGGTTCTGTTAGTGCCCTGTGCCTGTCGAGTGACTGTCAGGGGATTGCAGCTGTGAGCAGGACGTGGATCCCAGCAATCCCAGTACCTGCTCAGCATCCCACTGTTGTGGCCACCTGCAGCTGGGCACCACGGGAATCTGCACTGATAAACAGATTAAATCTGCCGTGTGTTGTACTTGATCCGGACATAAAGCCGTGTTCTTTCTCCTCCTAAACTGTGGGTCACTGTGCGCCCGAGTGAGCATCGTATGGATTAGCAGAGATTGCTCTGAAAGGATTTGGCAGCGCTGGAGGTTCAAGGAGCAGCTGGGGCTCTCGCTGGGAAGGGCTCGTGGTTCCCAATGGTGCTGTGAGCCCTGCGCTGCCCTTCGGGCTGGGGGAGGCTGCTCCTTCTGCACCCCCTGGAAAAACGCAATTCCCTCGTGGGCTGGGGTACGGCACTGGCTGGGGCACGTGGAGGGCTGCTTGGGAGGAAATGAGCTGTTGCTCAATGCCAGGCTGCAGAGTCTGTGTGTCCTGGGAGTGTCAGTATAAATCCTGATGGATCGATAGGTGTGTGCTGTCTGTATAGACGTGGGGATATACAAACATTGGTAGTAATACCAAGATCAACCACATATCGCATTGAATATTTATATAGATGTTAAAAATACATAAAATTTTAAGTACATAAATATAAATAAAATTTGTAAAAGTTAAAGAATTGATGTAAGTACTTGTACATCCATATGTGGTTGATGCATTTGCTAATGCTGTTATGAAATGAGAACCGGGGTCACTTGGGTGTGTCCCAGCAGTCACCTTACCCCGGGGCAGGGTGGCTGGGGCTGGACAGGTGCTCAGTTGACATCACTGTGGGTGCAGAGGAAAGTGGCACAGGTGTGAATGTCCCCTGTCCCCATCCTCCTGCCACTGTTGTGGCACTGGGAATCGTTCTGTGCTCCCTCGGGGCTGAGGAGGGACCCACAGACAGCAGGAGCAGCAGGGAGGGTTTTGCTGCTGAGCTGGTGTCTCTCCTTCTGTTGGGTGTGCTGGCAGTCTGCTTGCTCTGTTTGCTTTTTTCTTTCTTTTTTTAAATCCTGTTGTATTTCATGGCAGTAGGACAGCTCCCGTAGGAGTGCTATTAGCTGTGCTAGCCAAATGATCCATTAGAGGGGTTGAGGCTTTTACGTACAAGAATCACACACAAAGACGTCATTAAGTGGTCGCTTTGGTGTGTTTTCACATGAAAGGATTCACTTTAAAAAGTGTCTGCAGAGTGCTGCCATCAGTAGCAGCCCTGGGGGAGCTGAGGGGGCTTCACCGGGGTGATGCCCTCCCCTCCTTGCCCCCAGATGTGTGTTTGCCCCAGCTGGCATTCTGCTTGCTCCGAGAGTTGTTTGTGAGTGTCCAGACCCACAGCCCCCCATGGCAGCACTGTTGGGCTGTCAGCTGGGGAGCTGCAGGCTCCAGAGGGCGGGCACTGCCCAGCTCTGGGTACCGTGTGGGATCAGCTCTGGGCAGAGGCACCGTGGTTCCGCTGGGGGCAGTGACCCCTCCAGCAGGTGTTGGGCTGGTCTGCAAACAGGCTGTGCATCAGCCTTGTGTGGAGGCTCAGTGATTGCAGCCCTGCCTCTGGCTGGCCTCAGAGGTGTCAGTCAGCGACTCACGGGGCTGCAGGCTGCTCCAGGGCAGCCACGCAAGTCCTGAATATTAAAATACAGATATTAAAAAGGTTTCTCTGAATGTGGCGGGCAGCCTCCACACAAAGCTCCTGCAAGCAGTTTATTTTTAAAAAGGAAACCATAGCTTAGATGGAGTTAAATGTTTTCCTGTAAAAGCCATGGGCATCAGGATAAATAGTTTTACCATTTTCAGGCAATAGTTGATGGTATGTAGCAGCCATCCTCCTGCTCGGGTTCAAACGCGCCGGGTCGCAGGGATTTGCGCTCCCTGTCAGAGGGAGGTGTTTGTGTGTTTGTTTTGGATCAGAAGCATTCCCTGTGCTCCAGCTGCACTGCTGAGCTGTGGCTGCTGGTTCTGCTTGGCATCCCCAGGCACAGCCCCTGGCTGAGGGAGCTCCAGCAGCAGCAGTGGGTGCTACAGCACCCCCAGAACATCCACACGTGTTTCAGCGACTGAAAATTCTGTCAGGCATTAATAACTGTTCCATAGTGAGGGGGTGGTGTGTGTTCATGCAGGGCAGGTGGGATGTGCAGCGCTCACTGGAGTCGCTGCTGGCCACAAGATTTTTCTTTTGTCTTTAGGAGGTGGCCTGTTAAATGATAGAGCGTTGTAGGTCTGACCATGAATAGCCACTTCAAATTGCAGAATCACAGACTCAGCCAGTAAAGGAGCTTGCAGTGTCAGAAGGGGATCCCAAGAAAGCTTTTCTATTACTAAATATACAACCAGGATGTTTTCTGGAAGGAGATTATTGTCATAGAGCAAAAGCTGCAGTTGTATTCCTAACATACAGTGTGGGATGTTAAAAACAGGCTGTGCTGTGCTTCCCAGAAAACTGGTGTTGTGGGGAAGAGCCTGGTGGTGACTGCACAGAAATGGGCACACTCCTGTTCACCCGTGTGCAGGTCTGAAAAACCCAGGTGTACTGTCAGAGGATCCAGGTCTTCTAGGAATACCCTGGAATTTCTGAATGTAGAATTTGGGAGTGGTTTTTCCAAGGCGTGATTGGTCATTTTCTTTTGTCTGAGTTTGCCACGTTTTCCACAATTCTGTAAGTGTTCACACAAAGTGCCTTGTCCTTTGTGGGGAGTAAAGCCATGGTGAGTAGCTGGGGATGCTTCTGCCCTGTGGGAAGGTGCCTGGGGACGGGTACAAGTTCCTGCTCCCCTGAAGGCAAGGTGAAAAATGCTCCCAATGCAAGTCCTGACCACCAGACCGTGCTGAGCCCGGTGCTGCACCTGATGGGGTGTCACAGGAGGCTGAACACAGCAAGGTCAGGCACATCCTGCTCCCATCTGGAGTGGATGGCATTCCTTCATTTCTGACAATGAAAGTGAACTATACAGAGTAGGAAATAAATCTATGTATTAAACACCAAAAAAAGAAATGGAGAGGCAGCATGAAATTAAAAGACTTACTGCTGCAAGGAGAGCAAAGCAAAGGTGTGCTTGAGCCACCTTCCAGTAAGAGTGAGCAGTTTGTGTGGCAGCTGCTGCAGGCTCGGTGCAGTCAGAGGGGCTGAGCTGGGCTCAGCAGGCACTGCCTGGCACTGCTGAGCCCAGGGCTGGGGCAGAGCACCCCCGGCACCTGAGCGTGGCTGGGACACCCAGGGACCGCGCTGGCCCTCTGCCCCTCACCCCACTGGCCTTGAGGGCCTCTGCTCAGGAGCATTTGTGCTGAGCTTTAGTCCAGCAGGACTGCTTGGGTTAATCCTCCGCTGTGCTGGTGTGGCCCAGCAGGACGCTGCAGCATCCCCTGCCACCTCTGAATTTACTCACTTATGATATTGCTTTTGTAATGGTTGGAAGAGAGTTCAGAGAAGGTTCAGAGAGATGAAAATCTGCCTTGCCCTCTACTGATGCAGTTAGCAGGATCCAGTGACAGATAATTGGGAGCTGCTCTCTGCAGGGGCAGGGGATGAATGCTGCCCATGTTCTGGGAGATCTGTGCCACTGGTTTCCAGCCTGTGACTTCCAGCTTCTGGATGCTCTGTGGGCCATTTGTAAAGGTCCATGGAATAAAAGTGAGACAAGAAATCCTGCTCCCAGACAGACAAGTCTGCATTTCTCCTGGGAAATTCGCTAAGATCTGTAAATTAGAAGAGATTGGAGGTTAAAGGTGCCCTGAGCTCCAGAGCTACATGCAAACAAGGAGGATGTAAGTGATAGTAGCTGGTGATAGTGAAGCATAAGCACAATTTACCTGGGGCTGTGGTATATTCTGGTATAACTGAGTAAATAGCTTTCCTTAAAGACCATCTCCTAGACAGGTAGATAGAAATGCTGGTCTCAGTGGGGAAGCAGTGAGGCTCCTTGTTTCCTGGGAGCCAGAGGACATTGCATTAGATCACAGGAATGATTTTTTATGGCCGTAAAGCATTTGAGTGTATGAAGTACACTGAGAGGTTGGGGTGTACAACACGTACTGCCGGGCTTTGGATCTCATCCAGAGACTTGTGGCACAGCCTAAACCCCAGCACTGAAATGAGGACATTGAGTTTAATCTGGATTTCAGGTTGGTTAACTGCTCCTCTGATTCCAGCGACACATGCTGTAGTTCCATGCTACCCATTTAGCAGTAATTTGCTCTGACTTCTACATTGTGCTCATGTAAGGTCTCATTTTCCAGCTATCTGGTAAGTGTGTCTGCTTGTGTTTGCTTTAGCCCATGGCATAAGGAGCAAAGATGCAGCTTCTAATCCTATGTGTCCATTCTCTTCTTCAGGGTCGATGCTCAAGGGAAAACTGCAAATATCTTCACCCACCACCACACTTAAAAACGCAGCTGGAGATCAATGGCCGCAATAACCTGATCCAGCAGAAGAACATGGCCATGCTGGCCCAGCAGATGCAGCTGGCCAATGCCATGATGCCCGGAGCCCCGCTGCAGCCCGTGGTACGTGCACCCCAGGGGTCCCTCAGGAGAGCAGGCAGCACAGGCTCCCCGCCAGGGAAACCCCACAGAGCTCGGGAATGGGAGAGGAACCCACTGAAAGGCCCCTCTGAAATCACTGAAATGCCCCTCTGGATGTCTTTGTGTTGCTTAATTCTGCCTTGCCTGAAGTAATGTTTTTAATTATTTCAGTAATCTTGGGTTAATTTGTCTTTTGCATCTTTATTCTCAGAGTTTGGTAAGCGAGTGATCTGCATGAGATTTTCGTTTCCTTTGCAATATTATGTGCTCTAGGAAACCCCTGGCTTTGAGAGGATGCCCACTGGGTGTTTTCCCTTCACTCAAGGGAACTGTCCCCAAGAATTGCTTGCTGGAATTGAGCTTTAGTTCAGGGGGAGTTAGGCTCAGCTTGACCACGGCTAGTGCATGAGTCAGTGTGAGCCCATCCAGCAGCAGAGAGCTGGGGTGGCTCTGTGCCCTGGCCGTGAGCTGGTGGGGCTGTAGGACAGGGGCATGTCCCCACTTAGACTGTGCAGCACATCACAATGTCCCTGTGAGTCTCAGAGCAATGCCAGCTGGCTCTGGTAACTTGCTGTTATTCTGCAGTGGTCAAAAGGCTGCAGGGTATTTATATTGCTAGAAAATAAGCTCAGTAGAAAATAAATGGGGTGGTCTTATTTGCTGTACAGCAGGCACACAGGTGTCTGTTTGAGTGTGTTGGGCTGAAATCAAACACCAACATCTCTTAAGTTACACACTAACAGACTGGTTGTATTTTGAAGTTCATTATTACATAGCTGATAACGCAGTAATGAAAAGTGCAGTTAATTAATAGTGTATTTAAGGGTAATATTTAATTTCCTGTATTATTTGCCAGGTTGTTTTTCATTCACATGGATGAAGAATCATAAGCATTACAGAAATTATACCCATTTACACAACTCTCATTCTGTTTTCTCCAGTAATCCCTGCATGGTTTTGTTCATTATTTCCAATGTCTCTTGCTTCCAAACAATTCAGTCATTTCCTCAGATATACAGAAACATGTGCTCTTCTCTGCTGTCTGCCTTAAATTGATATGAAACAGAGAAAGAGTTGTGTTAAGTCAGTAGTTGTTTTTCCCTCTAAAAATTAGTTGGGGAAAAGAACCTAAATGCCTTGAGTAACTGCCTTATTTACATAGTGAAAGACAAACACTCCTGGCTGAATTTTATTTGGCAGTTACACTGCATTTGGGGGCAGGAGAGTTATTTAATCCTTGCCGCAGTGTAGCAGCTCTGTGTTGGGTTTTCACAGCATTATTTGGGCTCTACACCCAATTATCTTCACACCCACAAGGGCACTTGACTCTCTTTTGAAAACGTGCAAACAAACAAAATAAAATCATGTTTGCATGTGCTGTTTCTTCCACTGGTTTAATGTTTTAGCCTAACTAAAGCATCTCCCTGATGCAGTGAGTGTCTGATTATCTGCATGGCCAGCCTGTTTGTAAAACGGGAGGATTGTGGCTGTGAAACCTCAGGAGATCCTGGGCCAGCTCTAGCTGTGCCAGGGTCAGAAAAGCTTTGTGTGTCCCTGAAGTCGAGTGTGGCTGATGCTTTGTCAGGGCTCTCAGATGCCTTTTCCCCAAGAGCCAGCATTGTATTAGTGTGGCCATGTCCCCCTGGTAGCCCCAGGCTCTCTGTGACCCCACAGAGTGTCTGTCGTTCATTATGGCATTGCTGGAGGGTGGATCCTCTGTGAGTTTGCTCAGGAGCTGCCACGTGCTGTGAGTGTGCAGGGAAGCTGGAGCAGCAGAACCAGCAGAGGCTGGGGGGGATCCCTGTCCCGTGCTCTTGCTCATTGCAACAACAACACCCCATGAGCCACAAACACAGCAAATGCTCCTTCCCAGTTAGCAGCAGAAACTCACCTCGTTCAGCTCCAGGGCGTGCTGAAGAGTTGTTTTGGTGACAGCATGGCAAGCTGCTGCACACCAAATGTTAAGTGTCTGTTTCCCTGTCTCCCCTTGCAGCCAATGTTTTCTGTCGCACCGAGCTTAGCCACCAACGCGTCAGCCGCCTTCAACCCCTACCTGGGGCCCGTGTCCCCAGGCCTGGTCCCTGCTGAGATCCTGCCCACGGCCCCGATGCTGGTGACAGGGAACCCCGGCGTGCCGGTTCCTGCTGCCGCCGCCGCCGCCGCCCAGAAGCTGATGAGGACAGACAGGCTGGAGGTAGGAGCTGGCTGCTGGAACTTCCTCTCACAAATGCTATCCTTTATTATGTCTTCTGGGTGGGAAATACTTTCCTTGTGAAAGCAAATAATGCAGGTTTCACTTGGGCTTGTAATGTGGTATCTGTGTGATGGTAGGAATGAGGAGTGATGAGTGATTGTACCGTAAGTTCAGGCTGCCACTCTGCTTCTGACCCTCCCTCGCAGAAAGAAATGGGAATATTTAGGAATGATCATGGCAGCAGCAAGGGTGCCACGAAGCCGTTAGTGTGTGCCCAGAAGGCGTTGGCATGGTGGGGGCACAGCCCCTGAGCGCTAGGGAGAGGTGCAGAGCTGCAGCTGCTGGGTGCAGATGACTCGGCCTCTCTGGCTGGGGCAGACGGTGCCCACGCTCCCCTGCTGGCCTCCCGCACCTGGCTTATCACCCCTGCTACAACCCTGACAAGTGTCGGTGCTCTCGAGCTGCTGCTCTCCCTCGCTTCGAATCTCTCTTATCTGAAAGGCCTGACAGTGTTTTTAGCACCTTATCGGTGCTTTGGCAGCGTGGGCGGGGAGCCAGGGACAGGCTGCAGGCTGCCGTGAGCTTGGGGCACAGCCTGAGAGCACAGCCTGAGAGCATGGAGCATAGCCTGAGAGCAAAGCCTGAGAACACAGCCTGAGAGTGTGGATCACAGCCTGAGAGCACAGCCTGAGAACATAGAGCTCAGCCTGAGAGTGTGGATCACAGCCTGAGAACACAGCCTGAGAACGTGGAGCACAGCCTGAGAGCACAGCCTGAGAGTGTGGATCACAGCCTGAGAGCACAGCCTGAAAGCACAGCCTGAGAGCATGGAGCACAGCCTGAGAGCACAGCCTGAGAGTGTGGATCACAGCCTGAGAGCACAGCCTGAGAGCACAGCCTGAGAGCATGGAGCTTAGCCTGAGAGCATGGAGCTCAGCCTGAGAGTGTGGATCACATCCTGAAAGCACAGCCTGAGAACATAGAGCTCAGCCCCTGGGCACAGCCTGAGAGCAGGTGCTTGGCAGCCCTGGCTGGGTTAAAAGGCAGCGAGAGGGGAGGCTGAGCAGCCGGGCTGCTCTGCTGTCACCTGGTGTGTGCTGTCACCTGGTGTGTGCTGTCACCCTGGTGTGTGCTGTCACCTGGTGTGTGCTGGACACGGCAGGGTGAGGGCTCAAGGCTGCTGGTCTCCCTTCTGGCAGTGGGTCTGCTCACTGAGCTCAGGGAGCACGCTGGGAGGAGCAAGAAGGATCTCTGTTTTATGCAGTCTGCTGTATTTGTAACTCTGTTCCTTCTGCCTGTGCATCTGCACTAACAGGGATTAACTCTCCTTCCAAGGGAAATGAATTCCTCTTCCTTAGCTGCATCCCTGAGTGACAGGCTGCTGCTCGGAAGGGGCGAGCTGGGAGCAGTGTGGAGGTCATCTGGCAGCCAGCATTTCCCGCTGCCGCTGTCACTATTCTCAGAGCTCACATCACCACAGGTCACCCTCCTGTGGGATCACATCATTTCCCTTTTTAGAGATGTTTTCCCCAAGGGAAGCGTTCCCCAAAGCATGCTCAGGTTGCAGGGAGGCAGCCGTGCGAGCTCTGAGCTGGCACAGAGGTGGCTGGTTGTAATCACCCAGGGATGATTTTCCCTTGAGGACTCTGTTTAAAGATGGACACCTGCCAGAGGTGGATTTAAACCAAAATGCAATTAGGTAAATTCATAAATAAATCATTATGGATTTGGAAATGAGTATGGAGAGGAGGATGCCTATGGTGGGAACCCTTTGGGTTGTGCTGCCAAGGTCAGCTGCTGTGTTTGATTGTGCTTCCAGCCCTGCAGTGCCCATGGATGGTCAGTGTGGGACATGAGGCCTCAAAAGCAGCCTGGTCATAAGCAGGACGTACCCATTGTCCCCAAGCAGCCAGGGAAGCAGGAGCACCCTTTATGTGCCCCTCCAGGGCAGCCCTGGTGCTGGCCACGGGCTGTGACCGCTGTGCACAGGGAGCTGATGTCATCTGGGACCTCAGCAGGCAGGATTTGTCCCTCTGGAGGCTGCATTCTCTTGATGCTGCTGTTCAGAGAAGTGGTGCACTGCTGAGCCAAACTCCTCTGCATGAGAGGGACATGCTAGAGCAGGACTCTCAGGGTCACAATACTGTTTTTCCCTTCTGCAAATTTAGTTTAAGCAGTGAAACATGTAGGTGAGAACATAATTTGCAAATGCTTTCCAGTACAGTGGTCATCTGATCTGGAGTATCCAAATTTAGTATCCAAACACTAAACAAGCATGTAAATTTTATGAGCAGCAAAATATTTGAATGTACTTTATAGGCTACAGAAATGCAGAATGGATTTTGGAGATTCTGCATGACCTGGCTGTTACCTCCCAGAGGAGCCAGCAGTGTCTACCTGCCCTTCCAGGGAGCTGCAGCTGTGGCAATGCCATTTGTTATGGCATGATCAGAGCTTTATAAGGCTCCACTCACTCCCTCTCCCTTGGAATGAACTGTCCTGGAGAAAAATAACCACAATGATGTTAGCATCTAATCTTGGACTATGATTGGTTCTGCTTAGAATTTAAAATATTTGTTTTCAAGAGTGATATACTCTGGCAGGAATTAAGTCAGCACACGTTCTGGCACACAGACCCAGGCTGTTCCCAGGCTGAAAGCTCTCAGTAAGCACACCTGGGGTTCTCAGGGATACAGGCAGACACCACAGCTCTGTCGGGCAGCACTGTGTCTCCTGAATTAATGTGAGTCCTGGTGAAGTGAGGTCAGTGACTGATACTAGCAGTGGGATGGCTTTCATCTGGATTTCACACTGCCAGCGTGCAGGTGTTGGGTGTCCAGTGCTTTCAGCCACTCCTGTAAGGAATCTGCATCTCAGGATGGAAATGTCATGGCTTCAGGCTTTTCCACAGCTTTCCTCACACTCCTCCCCTGCAGGAAATATCTCAAACAAAGTGTGGTTCTTCAGTGAACAGAAAAGAAGCAAAAAGGACAGAGAGAGAGAGAAAAAGGAATTGCCTAACACTTTATCAAAACCAGCTGTTTCTGTTGGAATGCCATCATTTCTATTAGAAGTGTTCCCAAGTCAGGAATGACCACAGCCAAGCTGCTGTTTCTTGCTTGGCTCTTACATGCCATGCTTTGCCAGAAAGAAGCAGCTTAGAAGTTCTTGGACTGGTCAGCTGTGGGTGATCAGATCAGGGCTGTTGTGCTGGCTGGCATGTGTCATGCAGGGGATGGGACCAGGGAAGGGATGTGGCTGCAGGATTACCTGGCAGGCCAGTGGTTCTTTTCCAGCCCAGGAATTTGCCTGAGCTGTTTCTGGCGTGCTGCAGAATCTGTTCTGTGGGCCCTGAGCAAGAGGGCACAGGATGAGCAGGGGCCATGGGGGGCTGGGTTTGACTCAGGTGGCTCAGGTGCCAATGCATACCTGGAGTCTGTCACCACGTAAAAAAAGCCCATTCCTGAGCAGGGTCCTGCAGGAATGGCCCTGGACAAATGTTTTCACACAGGACAAATGTTTTGACCTGGTCCTGGTCCTGCAGGGGTCAGTTCATACCCGTGGAGGATTTGCAGGTGGCACAGGCAGTGGCATGAGGGTTAAACTGCAGCCAGAGGACTGGTATGAAGGGAAACCAAACCACCACCAAATCTGGGTTGTTGCAGGGATCAGAGCTGAGGTCCTTGAGGAAATACTTATGATCCAAGCTCACAGGCACCCACCTTGAACAGGAAATTCCATCTACTAAAGCGTTTTATTTTTATGCAGACCTGGTTGCTTTTGTCCCTTTGTTTCCTGTGGCCTTTGGAAATCTGGGATGCAGAGTGTGTTTTGTTGGCAGTTTGGGGAGAGCTGACCGTGACAGGAGCCCACGTCAGTCTGTCAGTCAGTGTGTCAGACACAGGGCTGGCACGTGTGCAGAGGGGGCTGGTGCTTGTCACACTGGTGGCACAGTCTGTGTCTGAGTGGGCTTGGGGCTGGCTGGAGCCCCTGGGGACACTGCAGGGGCTGTCACCCACGCAGCTGCAGTGTCTGAGCCCTCAGCTCCAGCTGGCTGCTGGCAGTGGCTGCTCCGGCTGTGCTGCTGCTGTTCCCCACCTCCCCAGGGTGATGGCTGGGCAGCACAGAGGCTGTGCCACCACCGTGGGCTCGGCTTGCTGTCTCCTGGCAGGTGCCTGGATCCTGGGGGCACATGAACACAGAGTGCCCACCCGGTGGGGCTCCCTGGGGGTGGCCACACACCATCCACTCACCCTAATGAGCACATGGAGCACAGCCAGGTCACTGCAGGGCATGGCCGAGCACCTTGGGGTGCTTGGGTGGTGCCCAAGAGCAGCCATGGCACATTTCAGGAGACAGAAACAGCCCCCTGGGCAGCTCAGTGGGAGCCAGAGTGACACCTGCTGTGTGCTTGGCTCTGGTCACGGTGGGGTTTCATGCTCCTTGACAGCAGAAGTGGCTCTGGGGAAGCCAGTCTCTGCTGCCAGGTTCCTGAGCCCCCCATCCCACGGCAGTGCACCACCTGGGCCAGGCCCCTTCCTCATGGTGCTCTGGCAGATTTTCAGAAAGCTTGTCTCTGCTCCAAGCCGTGCCTGCGACACCCATCACCCAAAGTAAGTGTCTTTCTTTTCCTGGTGTCACAGGTGTGTCGAGAGTACCAGCGTGGGAACTGCAACAGGGGAGAGAACGACTGCCGGTTCGCTCACCCCGCCGACAGCGCCATGATCGACACCAACGACAACACCGTCACCGTCTGCATGGATTACATCAAAGGGAGGTGCTCCCGGGAAAAGTGCAAATATTTTCACCCTCCTGCACACCTGCAAGCCAAGATCAAGGCTGCCCAGTACCAGGTTAACCAAGCTGCAGCTGCCCAAGCAGCAGCGACTGCAGCTGCCATGGTGAGTGTGGGAGCGCTCGTGGACGTAGACGTACATTGAGGAGAGGCAATGGTGGATGTGTGTTTGTCCTTGCTGAGGAGGGTGCGTGTGCTTGGGGACCCCGGTCACTACCCGGTGCAATGAGCTTTCTCAGCATGTGGTGCCAGATCTGCTGTGAAGTAGTTCCAGACCATTGAGGTGTTTGACTAATTTTGCCTGCTGATGTCCGGAGTAGCCGTGTGTACCTCTGTGCGTGCATACGTGTGTGCGTGTCTGTACGTGTGGGCTCCTCGTGTCTCTGGTTGGCTGTACATCTGTGTGTGTGGGCAGATGTGGATCTGTCCAGCTGCACAGCCAGATAAATCCGTGTTTAGTTTCTGTAAGTCCGTGTCTGTAGAGGCGTAGTTTGGAGCGGATTGACCGTGTTGCTGCTGTCCCCGTCCCGTGTCCCCTAGGGCTGGCGGTGGCTGTCCCGGGCGCAGTGCAGGCCCGTAGCTGTAGCAGCCGGGCCTGGGCCCCGTGAGGAGCTGGTGTGCTGGCGAGGCAAGGGCAGCACCGGGGGGCTGTGGTGGCAGGGG